CACCTGCATCCATAAACAGAACACTCGCTTTTATGCAGGAGCAAATGCTACCTATCAAACCAAAATCTATGTTAGATTGTTTGTGTTTGTCTCCCAATAACCATCCGTGACTAATAGCATTTCATGCTAAAACAGTTCCTTTTCCTTGTTTAAACATTGGAAACTGTGTACTCCGTAGTTCATATTTACTGCATGATCTTAAAATCATCGGTGTTGATTCCGAATAAGTAAAAACTTTGGTCATCAATTTATCCAGGAATTTACCAAGTTACAGTTACAATTTTATTTTAGGTCATAAAAACAGTTGTACTAAGCTTTAGTTTATCTCCTCTAGTTGGAAAATTAATCATCCAACAGGCAAATTAAGAAGAATATCAGGCACGTAATATGTCTTTATTAGGTAAAATTAAAGAAACTAAAGATTTTACAGCAATCGAAACCTGGACTTGGCCTCGAGCAGCAGCAGCATGTAAAATGGTGGCACCCTGTTTATCCCTGTAAGCCGAGACGGGATCACTAGAACCAGCAAGAATCTCCTTCAGGACCTCAAGAATACCTCCTCTGGCAGCAGCATGAACGGCTCTATTCATCATCTCCCATTTGTAAGCCAATGGAATGTCACCAGTGACGTGTCCTTCCAGATCTCTTCCTGATGAAAACCTTGGGGAGAGAGCATAATTGAAAACAAGTTTAAAGACATCAGAGTTCTTACTCCTTGCAGCAGCATACAGTATGTCGGTGGCACCATATTCTCCCTCGCCAAAGACGAGCAGCGGGTCCCTTTGGAGCAATTCTTGGACAAAGCTCAAGTCCCCTGCAGAAGCAGCGGTGTACAACAGCCACCCTCCACACCCTCCCCCTATAAGAGAATCTTTTCCTTTCTGGTTCTCACACTCAGCAAGCAGCTTTCTTGCAACTTGAGATCGGCACATGGCCACATGATCAAACTGTGCCTCGTCATCCCACACAGTCTCAAGCCTGCGGATCCTTCGCAGGGAAGTGAGCTTGATTAGGTGGTTACCATCCAGACGAAGAAGTTCACGGACCAAGTCATAGTGCCCATTGGCAGCTGCCCAATCAATAGGGGATGCAAACCACCATTGATCACCAGTGCTCTCCCATCGAAGAGGAAAGTGTGTTGAGGAAGAAGAAGGCATTGACTGGGAATTAGTTATCTATATCTTTCTCCGTGAAAAAAACCAAACAGCACTAGCTTTGGATGTCTGCTTCAAGAGAAAACAACCACAGAATCTTAAGTTAGGAAGCTTACTTTAATTTATGATGACATTATACAAGAAAAGCTTACTTGGGTTCTATAATATTAGACAATGGTGAAATTGATAAAGATCTTAATCATAGAATTCATATTGGATAGATGAACTGTACATGATAAACAAAAGGTTATTGAAGATATACAAATGCTCCCAAGGAGAATGATGGCTGCTACATTGAAGATAATAAAAAATACTCAATTATTATAAGGGTCACATGGACAACTTCGCTGCAATTACAAGTACTATAAAACTCTATAAATTAAACTACTGCCGTTAAATGACTGTTTTGCACTATGATCAAATCAAAACTACAAATATTTTATTTAAGCATTTTGAATATGTTTGGACACTTTATTTCTTTAAAAAAGATTTAAACACATGCTTAATTTTAAACAACTAATCCATAACACATAACTGTATTATTACTACATACACATTATACTAAAAATATTATTTAAAAATTTCATTTATGAATGATACTTAAAAGTTTTAAACATATGAATATTAATTTTATATAAAAAAAACTACCCCGTAGTATTTTTTTAATCTAAACGCTAAATTCTAAACATTAAAAAAAGGTATGCAGAATATTTTTTTCCTAAACACATATTTTGTGAAATGCTAGCTTGCTATAGCTCTAGACTCAACAAGACCTCCCCCGAACGCCCTGCTTCACTGCTATCCCAAAATGAAGAGGGGATAGAAGAGTAAAAAGGCTAATAGTAGGCGCCCTACATCAAGAGGTAAATGTAACCATAAATTTAGCAAAGAAATTCTACAAGGCCATCCACAGGAGATTTAAATTCCAAAAAAAAAAGAGGAGAAAATATGAATACAATTGAACAGCCATTACATTACCCCAACAAAGCATATCAAAGCTCTATAAATCTGAGTAGAATAATAAAAACACTGGTCATAACTGCCGCAAAGTGGAATGAAGATGAGAGAAGAAACACATGAAAAATGAATATATTTTGTGGTCTAATAAATGAATGAAAAACGGAAAAATAATAATAGTGAGTTAATTAATCAAAGTAAAAGAGGCCAGATTCGTACAATCAACTGGTATAGTATAAAACCCTGAGGCATGAAATAGATCAAAATCAAATAGGGGGAGTGGTCTATAATCAAATTGGCAGGGAAAACAAAAATTGGAACTTAGGTCTGCGATTATTGCCTAAGCTTTTGGTTGAATTAGGTGATGAAGAAATGAATTGCGGAGTAATTAATGAATGGATAGTGAAGGCCGGGCGCTACCTTTGAGCTGCTGCAGAGACGGACCACATGAGATGAAGATGATGATGACGGATGCGACCATGACGATCATGGATCGAGTTCCCGCGCAAGGGCGCCAATTTAAAGACGGTTACTAGTTCCAACCCATCCGAAATAAAATGATTTGAAAATAATTTCAGTCAAACATTATAAGCGCGATGAAAATTTTATTTGTGGAGTGAGGGATCTATGGGTCAATTTTTTTTATTTATCAAACTCTATGGGTCAATTAAACTTTCCCAGAAAAGAAATCTTCTTTTGGAAAGATAGAAAGCGTTGCTAGTGGTAGATGGATAGCCAATCCGCAATAGTCAATTGGTCAACGTCTCTATCAACATTATTTAGAATAAAAGTGAAGTGCATGTTCCATTACCATTTTCTAATTTTAGTATTAACATAATCTTATTATATGTATCGTGTCAATAAATATTGTCCATTCAAAATATAACTAACCAAAAACTTATTTATTTAAAAGTTATTGAAGAATTACAAAATAAATTTATATATCTAACAACTACATAAAACATTTCTTCAAAATTAGAGACAATATTACTATATTATTTATTAAATTAGTAACAAAAATAGTAAAAAAGTAACTAAAAATTGACCATGTGTATAATTATAACAGATAATTTCAATAAAGAGAGAAGGAGTACTAAGGAGTATCATCTTATTGATTATTTATAATTTTATATTATTCAATAAATGGTCCATTCAAGGAGTTATATGTTACTCCGTCCAATTAAACAATGGCTCCATATTTTACATTAATTCCTTAAATATAAATTAGTTTAAAGAGTTAAAAATTAAATTAAGACGGAAACAATATTCTTATGGACCATGCTAGGGTGCCACCACATGGATGCTACCATGGGTGCACCCATGTTTCGCACAGACAAACACAGACGATAATTGTCTGTGCGATACAGACAATTATCGTCTGTGTTTGTATGTGCGAAGTATGGGTGCACCCATGGTAGTACCCATGTGGTGGCACCCTAGCATTTTCCTATTCTTATTAGTTCGTTTCTTGTTTCTTACTCAGATTTAAATATTGTAGCCTCTAAAATTGAAAGTCGATATATAATATTGTCTCCCCTAAAACTTTTATGAGAAGTGCATGCACAGATATTGAGTGTCTGTGTGTCTATTCTTACCTTGTTGTAAATTTGATATATCCTAAGTGGGTTCCACAAACAATTTTCAACTTTTATTATCACTTTCAAGTATTTTCTCTGTCGCATTATATTTGTCTAACTTAATTTTTTTGAGTCAAACTGGACAAATTTTAGTAGTTATTACTCTCAATTTGTATTGTATATTACAGAGTAATAAAACGGCGTAAACTTTTAAAAGTTCTAAGTTAAGTATATTAAAATCACTTTAATATTACAATACATTAAAATTTTTACTTAATCAAAACTCAAAATTCATCCAATATAATGTGTGAAGAACAAAATGAGAATAATTAGCACTTACTTTCAATAATAGTGAAGAGATCATTTTGACCATATACACACACACACACACACACACACACACACACACACACACACACACACACACACTCTGACACACACGACACACACGGGATAGAAGCGCGCTTGCATGCAGGCGGCCATGTGATGTGCACATTGATAAAAGCATTTAAAGCCTTTTCAATAGCCTTTTGCTTTTTGCAGGTGATACATGCAAGGGATATATACATATAGTGATGGCCTAATTACTCCGTATATTATAAAGGTATTCCCATTACTACTTAATTAGGAATTGTTTGGCATACTGGATTTTAATTTGCTAGGGGTATACTTACATTTATACACCACGCTTTTACAGACAGGCACATATTGTAAATCTGTGACAAGCAAGCTTGGTGTAGAATTAGTGTACAAATGTTGGTGTATCCCTAACTTTTTTTCTTGACATACTAGTGATCAGTCAATGTCACCTTTTATTTTTGTTAACCATTTTTAAACTGGACCCATTATTATTTTACATTCATGAATTAATTTTTTTTAATAATGCTTTCGTTTTACAACAAAGGACAAGTCTCAGTATTAACTTGGATCCATCATCCAGGCAGATGAGAGATCATTGAAGGTGTTATTGGAGTGACTCGATGAATGCTCAAGAACTGGAATTAAGCTTGCTTCAGATGTCCTGTCTAACATAATGATATCCGGAAGGCTAGAGGCAAATTTCTTAAGAAGACTTTGCATGCACGCCCAGAGGCTAAGAGTGCCGACATAGTCACAGAGATGAAGATACTGAGATGAATGTACGAGGATGGATCGAATTAGAATTCGAAGCAAAGACATTCGGGTTTGGGTGGAATATTATCCGTAGAGGATAATACGTTGGTATAACTAGATTGAGATTATTTAAGCAACACATAATGGAGATTGCAGAAACATTTTGGTTTTATATATAATCAAAAACATCCATTTAGCAAAAACAATAACAAATGCTAATGGCATCTACTATACGTGTATGCAACGTTTTATTAGAATATGAAGAGAATAATATGAGGGGACATTATTGTGGCCATAGTTCGAGTGATCGACTACGTTTTGCTTTGGTTATGTATATACTCTGCACGCACGTACATGCTATTAATTACAGAGTGGGAGGGATCCAAATGTAACCATGTGTTTGTGCATAGCCTACCCTTTTGAGCAAATCATCTGCTTCTGCAGGGCCACGGCTGCCTGACTTGTACGCCCTTGGCTTCAGCTCTCCCTTATCTATCCTGTGCAGTATCGGAGTGAATATCTCCCATGCCACCTGTACACCCGGCCCCCACCGTTATTATACTATACTCACACCCACCATAACCATTCAATAATAATATATATTCATCTATGTGAGAATACACATTCCTCCTACGTTGCATGCATGGATACATGATACTAATACGTTTGAGTCTATCATAGACGGTGTATATACCTTCAGCTCATCCCTGCGAACAAAATGCTGCTGATCCCCCTTTATGCTGTATGTGATAAGCCCCCATCCAAAAAAAACCGAGTAAGAAAAGAAAAGTTTAAGGTGGTAAAAAAGAAAAAAAGGAATGGCATAATTATAGAGGGATGAGAATGGCACGTGTCAAGTATAAGGCGCTCATAAGCCTCTGGAATGGTAACCCCTTGATAACGTTGCCGGTAAGACAGGTCAAGTTCACTCTGAACAGTTGACATTTCCAGTCCTGGTTGCTTCACCTGCAATAAGGGGTATGTGTTGCCACATTCTCAGCATCATTTGGCCTATCCCGCATACTATGTACATATAATAACACATTCATGTTCTGTTTTACATGATAACAATATTAGCTAGTGGAAACAATGGCTTACCGTGAGTTTCATGTACATTGCTTCTGAAGGCTGAAGCCGTATAACAAATTCATTCCTTCCTTGCTTTTGACCTGATAACATGTTTTTACATACAACACACTCAATACTTTATTCATTGCAACAGTAACAAATAATGAGCCACGGTAGGCAGGAAATCACAGACTCCAACTTCCAACCACCCAAAAAAAATTTGCTTTTGAGATTTAAGAGTTAACAGTTGATTTTATATCTTTCATGCACTTAGTTTGTTGCCTTTTTTAATGCAATTAGTTTATTGTTGTTTCTAAAGAATATTAAGGGAAATACGGAAGTAAGTATTTTTTAAATGTAGACGGTGTTTCACCCCTCCCCTAGCATTCATTTTTCTTAGATTGATTGGCATTTGGCACTTCGGCAGAAAACTTGAAACCCCACAAGTATCAAAACTGATTTCAAATTAATAGATGGGACACACCAAAAAAATACAGTGTTACGTTTATAGAAGAAGACTGAACATCTTTTATATCAAAAGAGGGAAGGAATTTTAATTCTGACACTTACATCTGAATATATCACCAGGAACTTCCTTAAATTGGATACGAATTTCCGCCTTTCTAGAATTCAGTGCTTTTCCTGCCTTCAGTATAAATGGCACACCTGCAGCAAGTCAGTCATGTCATGATATTTATCAACAAAAAATTGGTTAAACCTGCCAAAGTGTATTTGGAACGAAAGAGAAAATTGCTGGGGGGGGGGTTAAGGAAAATAACTGAAAATTTTCGAACGAAAGAGAATTTGGGGGTAAATAAAATAAATTTGAACTCCAATAAATGATAATTTAGATATTTGATCGAACTCATTTTATTTATATGTTTCTATCATGTAGAGGCTGATAAATTTATACTCGTGTAAAATTTCAAAAAAAGAAGAAGTCAAATTTAAACTTCATACGGAGTATTTTCCGAGGGAAAAATCAAACATTATAAAATTGTTTTCCTTATAATTTTTCCCTCCCCTACCATTTTCAAGGTTTCAAACATAGCCTAACTCTTTGAGATATAGATTTCAAACCCTTTCCTAAAGAGTATACAGGATGTTAAGAAAACCGATATGGGCATCATCTCACCTTCCCATCTCTCATTGTGAACACGCAGAACCATTGTAGCAAAAGTTGGGGTGTTTGAGTTCTTAGGAACTGTTGGATCATCCCTATAGCCCTCATATTGCCCAAGAACAACCTCTTCATCTTTTATGGGATTTACTGACTGGAGGACCTGAATTCCATATATAGCAAGTAGTATACATAAAGTAGTGCAGGAACATGTAAGAGTGTGCATGAAGTTTTTCAATCATCAAAGTTTTACATTCCCTCCAAATGTCATGCTTATTAGAGGTAATAAAAAAAGAAAACCCTGAAAAATCTAACTACAAGAGAAGGCTGTCCACAATTAATATGGCAAACTCATCAATAAGATGGAACGCTCTTACAAAATGAGGAAATATTCAGGGATGGTGATTCATGATAGATCAAACACAATGCTTCTGGGCAAAAACAGACTTTTATAATGCTAAATGCAAACCTTCACTTTCTCGTCTCGGATATGCTCAGGCTTTAGCGAAATTGGCTTCTCCATGGCAACAAGGCAAAAAACCTGTAATACAAAAGAAAATGAAAACTCAAAAAAAAATACTCTGCAACAAGAAGGCCCTTTTGAAGGAACTCTAGTTCTAGGAACAGTAGGAAGTAAACATTGCTCTGTAACAAAATCAAGAGATTGCAAGAGTAAGGGGAATAGGGAGAGACAGGAGAGCAAAACAAGGACCTAACATAATGCAATTGCATTCTGCAAAACTCTAGAAATAACTTCATCATTGAAACCATTTAACAAATATATGTTGCAACTTTAGATAATATCAATGTGATGAGATTATAACAGAGTACCTGCAAAAGGTGATTTTGAATAATGTCGCGTATAATCCTGCCAAATTGTAAAGTTTGAAACCATTAACTTTATGTTACTACTTACCAGCTTATATGGTGTTGTTTGGTAAGATGTAATGAAATGTAATATAATCAAATGCATTTGTGATGTATATTTGTACTAAAAATAAAAAACATATCTGATCATCCATTACATTATACCAAACTACCCCTAGATTCAATAGGCAAAATGAGTAGTCTCTCTTTTATATCCTTCCTCTACTGCAGAAAGGGTCAAGCCTAGATTATCTTTTACAAAACCAAATAATAAATGCAGTTTCCCCTTGAGACTAAATGCAGTTTCCCCTCGAGACTCGAGTAAACAAGCATTACACTGAACTCATTTTATTTTTTGTCAAAAGATGAGGTTGTTGCAGAATGCTAAATACATATTGCACTTTGCTCCAATTAGTCCAAAAAGGTCTCAAGAGCCAGAAACATCAATAATCTTCCAAATTATAACATCAGAAAACATATTGTTGAGTAGACATGATGGGATCCAGTAAGAGTACCCATATTGATCAAAATATCCACCACGGCCTTCAGTGCCGAAGTCTTCTCTGAATACAATCTGGATGCAAAGAAGTAATATACATATAAGAAAACACATACTCAGTAGAAAACAAGGCCATTATGTGTTAGATTTAATCGTATTGTTTAATTCCTGGTCATAAGTTATTAGTTTAGATTTAAATTTTAAAAATAAAAGGGACAGGGGTAGTTATTTCTGGAGGTTAAAGGTAGTTATTTCTAGAAGTTGTATTAGTTAGTAATAGATGTGTTGATTAGTACCAAAAGTTGTGTTGGTTGATGTCTATAAATAATCCAGGAACATAGAATTCCTGAATGTAGTTCACAATAAAAAATCAGATCTGGAGTATATAAACAGAGTATTTTATAAACAGATCTGCATTTGTTTTGTTCTTCCAATTATTTTCCTACATTATGTACTTACTAATTAGATGGGTGAAAGTAGGGAATCATGTGAATATGAAAGAGTAAAACAAAGGAATTTAAGCACTTGTTCCATCATCTAGGATATCATCAGCAATTCAGCAGCAGCTTAATCCCTACCATGTTGGGGTTGGTGGCATAAAGTCTATAGTGTCAATCATTTGTCTTAAATAAAAAACTACACGAGCCTGTGGAAGCATAAGCTTTTGATAAACACCTTAGCCAACAGACATAAAAAGAAAAACAATGAAAAACATGTACTCTCAAAATTCACTTGTTTATGGCGAGTCATGGGCTCTGAATGGAAGTTTTTCTTTAAATATCGGAAGAGAAATAGAGCCTATGTAATCCAGATTATTGATTAGGGTTAAGACATCATAACATTACGTCAGGTCATTAAAAATCTAACAACACTATTCTAAAGTTTCTCTCTCTATTACATTTTGTTGAGCTCGGGCGTCAAATATAACTAGATACATAAATGTCTTCAAATTCCCCACTAGTTAAATACAGAGTATAACAATAAGCATGTGTGAAGACCAACCTGAACACTGTCAATATTGTCACGATTCCAAAGAGGCAAAAAGAAGCGATTAGCAAAGCGAAGCACAAGCTGCATTGAGATTATTAATTAACAAAAGCAAACACATAAGAAACAATTGACTATCTAGATTAAGAAAACATAGAACCACTAGAAAGAATACCAAGTTCTGAACCAACTCCTTCCCCAAGTAGTGGTCAATGCGATAAATTTCTGGTTCATCAAATAATTCTCCTATCTGGGCACTGAGTTCCTCAGCTGTAGCCAAATCCCTCCCAAATGGCTTTTCAACTATGATCCGTGTCCATCCACCAAGATCGGCTGTGTAAGCAAACCCGTGGAGCAATGGATCAAAATATCAAACTTAAGATTTGGTGGAATTGTGGAACATTAGAGAGCATTGTGAAAAGTACAAGCCTATTAGTAAACTAATTTGCTTCAGTGAACATCATAGATGGATAAAAAACATATTGAGACCTACCCACTATACAAAAGAATGGTGATGATTATCACACAGGGATTGGCGGAGCTCGTGAGGGGCCATAAATGTGTGTGAGAGAAGTTAGTGATACATTTTATGTGAATTTAAGTATCTACAGCTCAAAATTGTGTAAGAAATTTGTTGAAACAAAGAGATCAAATAAGTTGCTTTTTGGAAAAATAAAATTTTGTATTTTCAAGAAATTTGATGCCTACGTCACTGCACAAGAAAACACTGGACTCCATAAAAGCGCCCATTGTGCTCCTTAAGGTTTTGGTAAAAAAGGAAGCATACATTTATTAGTGCAATACAACTTTATCATTCTGCAAACAGATGGATAAACTGAAGGAGGGAGTGCGAGGTAGAATAGCCTTCTGGATGATCCTTCTGTGCTATTTTTTGATACTTCATGCTCACTTATTGCTTTGTCTAATGACTGAAAACCTTCTTCGGAGTCATAACCGCCACATATATACTTTATCTGTGAGAGTTGACTCAGGATAAGAAAGAATGACATTAATGGAGGGGCGATTATAGATTGGTCATGGCACTAACTACTAACCAATTGCAGAAAATTTGAAACAGATTCTGGATTCTCTTTCTCCGGGGAAAGATACCTGTGATGGAATGAATGGTCAGCCACGAAATAAAATCCATGTAAAAAAGTGTAAAAATTGAGGACAGGGCAGTGCCGAATTCTCACCCGCGAATACGATCTCTCAATTCATCAAGTGCAATTTTGGTCCTTGCATAGCCAAAGATGTGAACATCGTTAGATTTCAAGAATCCCTGCAGCAAAATCGAAAATCACATAAGCAGCCAAGTGTGTATATTCAGGCTTAGAAATTCACAATCAAACTAAAAATCAGAATGCAAAGAAGACCAAATCCAAACAACATAGCCGGGAGTAAAAGAATGAAGAGATGGATTGCAGGGGAAGCACCTGGCGGTAGAGGTTGAACAGGGCAGGAAAAGTCTTCTTCTTTGCAAGATCACCAGAAGCACCAAGAACAACAATGGAGAGGCACCCAGTTTCGGTCACACCACCAATATCTCCTCCAACGGATTCATTGCCGACTACGCCCCTTTTCTCCACGCACCACTTGTCCGATGCCATATCTCTCCACACAGTTGATCTATCGAAGTGAATTAAAGGCACGAACTTTAAAATAAACAATCAGATCCAAGTAGCCAACGTGGGCAAGGCCACGTGAAGAACAAATAAGCAAACAAAGTGGCGAGCAGGAATCAAGGAAACAATCAGGCGAACTCAACGCAAGAACAAACAGAGCAGGACAGCAATCAAAAAAAAAAAGAAGGGGAATCAATCAACTGGGTGGAGGAAAGAACTAACCTTTACTCGCAGACAGGAAGATAAAGGAGTGGCAGAGAGAAGGTGGGAGAGGGGTAGGAGGAGGAGGAGGAGGAGGAGGAGGGGTTAGGAGTTGAATGAATACAGAATCAAATGAATCTCTCATCCAATCCAAGTGTAACGCGGATAGAAGCTGAGTGGGAAGGATTGACCCGTGCAGAATGGGGTGAACGGAAATGGTATACTTTTCAATGTGAGACGGCATCTCCGGTCCCGCCAATCTCGGCATCGGCGCGTCGGGCGTTGATGATGGAAGACGCCGCATCCGACCGTGGGAGCAAATGGTCACCTACCAGACTTTGATCACATTCAATTCAATGAGCGATGACCCAGCCAAGTACAAAGTTACCAGCCCTCTTTTTTTCTTTCTTTCTTTTTTATTTTTTTTAAAAAAATGAGCCACATCTTGCATGGTCCCTACTCCCTACAGACTCGATGAGACGGTCATTGAGAAGATAAATTAGACTTTGATCGCAAATTGATAACAAAAAATGAAACATACACCTGGCAGATTCTATGTTTAACATAGTTGTCACCCAATACAGTTCCCAAAAATTGAAATGTTGTTAAAAAAACATCGGTGATCCAATTACCTCTATAGTGAATTCAACTTATCCAGATTTTCACAATATCGCAAATGATCCAGCATATTTGCAAAGGCAGACTATCCTAGCTTGCACCAACTCCAAATGTTGTGTATGAAATAAATGACTACATGACATTATTAAACAACGTGGAAGAATCAAAAAGCTACTTGAGCTCTGATGCGCTGTGTAAGTCTAATTCAAATGTAGATTTATTAAGAGACTTGAATTATTCCGAATTTCTAAATAACATACGGGTATTTGGTGTGCCGAATCATAAATTAAAGTTAAAGGTCGGAAACTCATCATGTTGTTGGGGAATATAAATTAATCATCAGGTTTGTGTAAATGGAACAAGATTGATAGTTACTTGACTCGGGAATCTTCTTATTCAATGGAGGGTGCTAACAGGCAAAAATATTGGTAAAGAAGTTGTTATCCACTGTTGTTAATTACACCCTCAGATACAAGAAACCCTTTTAAGTTTCAAAGGAAACAATTTTCAATTATGATTTCATATCCAATGACGAAATAAAAATCAATGTAAATCTCTGTCGCATGTTGGCTTTTTACTCAAGAAGTGATTCAGTCATGGTCAGCTTTGTGTAGGCAATTTAACGTGTCACAAATCACTAAGGGTTAAAGATATTTATTTGCAATGAAGACTTTGCATCGTTAAACCAAACTACAACTATATTTTATAAATAAGTTTTCCAAAACTTATAATGCTATGGATCCACATTCAATATTAATGTGTATTTGACAACCACAAAAGTGGCGGAAACTTCCCTATTTATTGACTTTGTGAAGATCAACAAGGTCTAAATTTTTTCTATATTTTTCTTCTTCTCATATCTTCCTTATAGTTGAGCACCGCAAACAATCCCTTTCTTGTAATGTTTTGAAATTTGAGGGTTGATTTAGTGACAATAACGTTATATAATCATATCTAACTGAATGACTAAGAGAAGAATTTCATCCTCAAATTGAAGATGTTGATTTCACTTAAAGAAATAATGAAAGAGGACATTATATGAAAAAGTATGAGTGTTTAGAACAAACAACTAACGACATGTTCTTTTCGGTTAGAATGCTAAATAAAGTTGAAAATTGAAAAAAAAAACTAGAAAGAGTGTGAGAAATTGAAAAGAGCTGAAAAAACTAGCTGGAATTAGAAGTAATTGGAAAAATTAAAGTGTTAAAAAAATCACCCAAATAAATATGCAAGAAAAAACAAATGTTGGATTAAAAAGAAATTATTTTTTCTATGTTTGAGGTGATATGTTATAAATTTGGATTTATAATGTTATTTGGAATAAATTGGAAGGAGTTCGAAGATTAACTATGTTAATCTTTCCAAAGGGAGCCATAGTGTCCTCAAGATGAATTGGACAAGTTCATCTCTTTAAAAACAAAACAAACAGAAAACCCTTTGGGGTACATTGGTAACAGGGACGAAAGCATTATAAGGATTAAGGGTCCGTTTGGTATTCGGAATTGACGGAATTGGAATTGAATTAGAATTGAAATTCCATGGGACACAATTTCATAAAATTGAATTCTGTCCATTTCAATTCATTTTTTGCACTATTAATTCCAAATCCACATATTTTTTGTGCTACCAAACATTAGAATTGGAATTGAAGTCCCTAATTCCAATTCCATACTTTGAATTCCATGTACCAAACGGGGCCTAAGGTTGTAGACTTGATTTCCGTTAGTAGGAGGAAAGTATATGTCCTTGGTGGGCGTGGCTCCTCTCTAAAGAAAGAACGTAAAAATTAATTTATCACTAATTTAAGGAGGGGTGAATTGACCATTAAAGGCTCATGGTGGGCAACCAAATTTAGACAACAAACAAAAGGAAATTGCACAAATGCTGCAAACTGCAATTTAGATACCGGAAATTTGAGAAGGGGAGACTAAAAAAGCATCATTATACAATTACGGTCACATTGAAAGCGTCTTTGGAATGTATTACAAACTGCAATGAGAGAAAAGGCTTGCTGCTTTTTTTGTCTTCTTGTTCACTGCGATCCGCTCCTGCTTCAGGGAGAGAGAAAGAGATAAATCAATAATATCAGAAAATGCCCCAACAATGCGCGCTAGAGGGATCAATCAAAATATGCACAGGGAGGGTGCAAACCTTTTGCTTAAATCACCTGGAATCCATACTACATTTTTAACCATTTTGGCTTGATGTTCTTTTTCTCAGCAGGTTTTTGCTCTTGAGGAGTGTGGTTGTCAGCTACCGAAGGCGGCAGCTCAGGAACCACTTCATCCGGCTGCTTCGTTATAGCAGACTCCAACCCTTGCAAAGACAATATCTCCTCTTGGAGGTAGTGCTGACCATGGGCACCATCATCACCTATCAAAGTTCTTCATTCATGCAATCAAACCAGCTACAGTTTTGGAAATGTATGATATACTGTTTGTTATTTGTAAAAAATACTATGATGATTGATTGATTTAGAATAATATGGCAGTACTATTCATTGTTTGTTCTTGGATAGAGGCAAGGTCTGCACACACACCCCTCTATGGGATTTTACTGGGTTTTTTGTCGTTGTTGTGCTTGGATATTTATCTCATACACAAATCAAGCATTAGTTTGATGCCTGAAATGCAAGAGGACACAAGTTGTTCAAAAGAGGCATCCAACTCGAGCCAATGCTGTTAAATCCAAATTACAAACTTCATTATACTTTGTTGTAGTGTATCCTTGCTAAATATTCCTTTAAAAATACTCCATACTCTGCTAGCATACGCTACATTCACTATTACTCCATCCGTTCCATAAGAAGTCCCATTTCTCATCTTGTTTTTGCCTCATAAAAGAGTCATATACTCATATCTCTCCAGCTTGTTTATAAATAAAGGTATATTTATTGCTAAGAGTTGTACCTTACTAAAATTAAAGAGTTGTACACTCATCAAATCAGAATGGAGGGAGTAAATGAAAATTAAAATTATCAAAGCAAATCGTATAATAAGTGTATATCATTATTGCAGGAATTCACAATAGTAAGATAGGTCGCCGTTGAAAGTGCGGGACAAGATGTTTATGGAATATTTACTGACCCTTTGCTGCATTATACGAGAAGTATACAATTGCACCAGGAACAAAACCGGCAGAGTAAAAATCTTGCGACGTGTCTTTTATCTGCTTCTTGGGAGGAGTAGTATCTGTCAATACAATGAAGGCAATGTTTTACTTTTCAATCATTCGTATAAATAGGACAGCGGAGCCTTAAATTAAGAAACTTGATTTCAAATACACTCACACAAATAGAAAGGCAAATCCGGCCTAGCAACCACTTTCGTGAGCAGGTTAACTAAGTCTTGGATTGTCTCTGATGGATGAAATGATGCCTCCAAGGTGAAATTATCAGGAAATCTCACTCTGATTGCAGTCTGCATATCAACAATGACAAGACATTTAAAAACAAACATTCTTAACTCCTTATGCTATAAAGATAGTAAATGGAGATTGAAATAATAAAATACTTCAAATTAATTATCACAACCTTAGTTATCCTTGATCTGCGAGCAGCTTGTTCTGCTTCCCTTATTTTCCGAGTCTTCAAATACTTATCTGTTCATGACAGTGTGTAAAGTTAAACAGTATAAGCATGTATCAGCTACCATATTGAGCCATGTGGACATCCACACATAGAGCTAATTCACACTAACTGGATACACATAACTAGGTGCTATTGTGTTTAGTACCTTCCTTCTTGGTTGCCAATAAACGATAGTAATCATCTGCTGTAAACTCATAGAAGTCTTCTGATTCGTCTACATGTCACCCCAAAAGAAGAGACACATGGAATCAAACATGAGAGCAAAATAAAGAAATTTCAGGCAATTTAAAACCAAGCAGGAAATACCACTGTTAGGGATATCACTCGAGACCACAGATTCAGTTATTGTTTGGAAGACACGAAATTCATGTCCAAGTTTTTCCTTTGCAGCTGCAAGCTTTGCCTGAATTCAATCAAGAAACAACAAAATTTAGTAGCTATATAACATAAAGTGCCTTAATGATGTGAATAGAATATTGTGTTGTGAATACAAAGGCATCTGCTCTTCTTTTTCTTCTTATGCAACAAATCCTATCTTGCGAATTCCGCCGGATTCTTATTTCTACTTCAACTATTACACAAGCATACCGTGAAAATGTGAAATCAGATGAGAGATCAAAACTTCTTAGAAGTTCTACAGATTTTTACATGGACAGGAGTGGCATATCATTATATCAATAGCAGCGATTAGTAGATTTACGCACAACAAGTAACAATATGAGCTTTAAGAGATGAATCGGGAACCAAAAATTGCGAAACAGGACATGAGATCAAAGATGAGGGGACAAAATCGGAGGAAAACAAATGAATAGAGTGAGGTAATATACGACCTTGGCGGAATCAGCTTCCATGGGATCAACCGTTGAGAACCTCCTTCGCTTTAGAGCAGCTGTGGAATCAACTATCATTACCAGATTCCAGAAACCTCCTTGTCATTTTGAGTGATGATGATGATGATGTTTATATAAGAAACTTTCTCCAATCCAAATGTGGAAACAAAATGTTTAAAAAGAGAGGAAGTTAATCCTAAAACAAGAACAAAGATCTGTTTCGAAATAGCGTTAGGGATTAGCGTTAGCGTTTTGAAAAGGCTATCTACGGTCAGCATTTAGCGTTAGCGTTTTCAAAGCACCGTTAAAATTTTATCCAAAACGCTAACGCTAATCCGTAACGCTATTCCCAAACAGACCCATCATCTTCTACTTTCAAAACGTTTTTTTGAAGTTTATTGAGATGAGCGTGAATACTCATGTTCTACACACAAAGTAGATAATCCAACATTACGGAATGCATTAGAATAAAATAAATAAATGTAATTTTTTTGAATATTATATATGTTCATCATGAAATATCACATCCATTGAATCTCCTCCTTTTGCCCAAGTCAGAACAAAGTAGACATGAACCGCTCGTAACATAACCATCCAAGTGATGCGATTATTGTCAATCTCGGCAAAACCATTCCATATACTCTTTGAATGTTTTTGGAAAAAATTTCGAAGGAAGGGCAAATTTTTAGGGGATGATATTGTTATGAAATGTTTGGGGTATAAGTAGTATATATAATTGGACAATCAATCTACCCTAAATGCTTAGATTTTGTGAATCTATTTATTTAATTTGATTTTGGATAAAGTATGCATAAAGCCACATCAATTTTTTCCTCTTAAATTAATGGATTTTCGTAAATCTATTTATTTAATTTGATTTGATATAAAGTTTGCATGAAGCCACACATCAACTTTTCCTCTTAAATTCTGGGATTTTATGAATTTATTTATTTAATTTAATTTCACATAAAATTTGTATGAAGTCACGCACCAACTTTTACTTTTTTTCTCGAATATCTATAAAATACTATCACTATGCACGCAGACTCATAACAGAACACTGGCCATTATTTAGGCTCAATTCGTCAGGTCCAAAACCTAAGTACCTAGCCCATACATTTTGGCACTATTCACAAATTCATTCTAGCTTTGTATATAGTTAGATTTATTTTTCTCTCCCTAAAAAAATGTATCTTCACTTTCCCAACTTTCTTTCAAGAAACAAAATTATTTATCCCACTATTTTTGGAACAAAAATTAAGAACAATATTTTCAAAAAAGAATTAAGAGCACGTTATGATTCTAATATTAAAGATTATTAAAATAAAAAAATTTATAATGTTACAACACTCCGTTTAGAGTACCTACGTGCATTTATAAAATTAGTTGTTTCTAGTTCCTACCCCTTCTAACTCCCGGTTAACCTCTCAAACCTGGCATGTCCCAAACACACCTCGACACCTACACCACTTTTCATTTTGGTCAAATATTTGTCCACAAAGTCAACTAAATGGAAAGTGATACAATTGAAGGGGGCCAGATACAGGAGTTCTTTAATGACGTGTTGAGCTTGTAGGGTAGGAACGATCAATTTTACAAACAGCACATAACAAGTATTCCAAACGAAGTCCTGTAACATTTGTTATAAATTTTGTTGTAAGATTAAGCCCCCCCCCACACAAACGCATACACACTAGCATTGGAGTAGGAAAACCAAAAATCGCAAACCAAATCAAAACCGATCAAAACAGTTACAGACAAACTTATATTCCTTTTTTTATATACTCAGTATATAAAAAAGGGGTTTTTTATATACTCCCTGTGATGGGAAATAATACGTGGCTCGGCCCACATTTCCCAATTATTTACGAAGAACAGTTAAACTGGGTCTGTTTAATAAAATAGAGGAATAAGAGAATATTCTTCCATAGATGCTCTCACCCTCTCCTATAAAAGGGAGGGTTGCCCTAATTGTCGAGGGAGGGCAAAAAATCACACTCTCCCCTGCCATTTACTATTTCTCACTCTAGATAGCATATTTTTCTTCTTCTTCAAGAGCTTCTAGCTCCACCATTAATGGCTTCTAAGCCTAAATCATGTACCGTGTATACACCCCCGATATTAATAAAAATCCCCCGTTGGCAAGGTACCGCCAAAAAAGGCCCGTGGTTTTCTCCCGATTTGGGTTTCCACGTCAAAATCCCCGTGTTTATATTTTGGTGTATTTTTAGACTAGTTTATCGTTTTAGCCGGGCTAAAAACGGTATACCGGTCGATAATTTACACCATCATTTTGGCGCCGACCGTGGGACCAGAACAAGAAGCTGTGCTTTTGTCCGGCCATCTTTCCGTCGGTGGAAGGAAAAAAAAAGTGAATTTCAAGAGTCAAATAAAGGGACTCAAAGAGAGAAATGGCCAAATTATACCGAACATATGTTCTGGCCTTCAACTGTTAATGCCTCCTGGATCTTTCGTAGCCACCTTCATTGCGGCTACCAGGTCCACCTTCGTCGTGGCTGCTGGAGTAACAGTGGTACAAAAAAACCCAGAGAGATCACTCTCTCTTCGCCGCTGCCGTCGTGGGTTGTGGCCACCACTGCCGCCGGTTGATGGAACCACCACACCAAATCATGAAACCGCACCCCGTTGATGTGTCTGCCCCTTTCGCTGCTGGAGCCAATCATTGGAATCTGGTATTGCCGTCGTAGTGGGGGTCAGTTGTGGCTAGAATCCACAGAGGCTGCACACAGAGTTTGCCACTGCGGGAATTCATCCCTGCCACTTCGCTCGGGGCTAACAGGCAATGACCAAGAAACACGCCATTGCCACTACCAGAGGTTCATGGTCGTTGACGTTACCACGATTGAGTTCACCATCGTTGCTATTCATCGTGGCCGATCGGGATATGATCGCTGCCGCTTCACTCTCGAGACAACTTTGCCGATGTCACCCACTGGCCACTACCATCACTGGAGGATAATCCATCTAGATCTACCACTGTCGCATATGTCCACCACCACGTTATTGAAGTCTGCCACCAGCGCTACTGAGGTCTGGCCATCGTGACAATTGTTTAAAAAAAAAACTTCCAGATCTGTTCGCCACTGAGGTTATCCATTTTCTCCGCTGAAGCGGATCACTGCTGCTGAAGAAGTCTGTCACCACCGTCGCCATTGGATCTGCCGTCATCGCCTGCACGCCAGAGGTCGGTGGTCATCCGTGGTGCCGCCGAGGTCCGTTGTAGCCAAAATCTTCCACTACCGAAATCTGATCTCTTGAACATCAGATCCGCCGCCACCGCCACTGTTGCGGCCGTTGCAGTTTTGGACCGCTGCAATGATGCGGTATCCAAGTCACTGAAACCACCGCGGGAGCCAGCCACAAGCCATTTTTAGATGGAGACGAGGTTTACCGACATCATACTGGTTCTCGGATGTGTCAACTATGTCGTCATCATTGCAGCAATCGTGGACTCTCAGGTCGCCGTCTCTGACCATCCACCGTGGAAGGACTGAGCTTCGTAGCTGCGGCCGCTTATAGATATGCAACCACTGACGTTACCGGATGTGATTCCGCCTTAGATCATGGTAATTGCGGCTGAAATTCCTCTCACTTAATCTGCTCCTAGCGAATCTGCCATCCCAGTTATAAAAATCCACCACCGTCAATAGCTCTGGAGCGCACAACAGCTGCTTCCCTTTGGATTCCAGCTTGGGTCTCCCGTCCAAAAAGACAAGACAAAAGAGAGAATGATGTATGTGCTATGGGCTTCACACTTTTTGATGAAATGGGATACAGCTGTGTACTCTGTAAATACTACATCACCATTATTTTTTGGAGCATATGGGTAAAAGTGGGACCCATTTCTATCCTTGATCAGTGGAGCACTTCATGGGAAAAACTCCAAATGCTTACATATCAGATTCTTTGTACGGAGTATATGCAAAGAAGAGACCGGCCAAAGTCAAAGAGGACAACGACTACAAAAAAGAAGATAAAATGAGATGTGGAAGATGGGATGGCAAATTGGAGTAATAATGAGAATGGTGGGGGCATTGATTCCATTATATGGAATAATTAAAAGGCTCCTCGAGAAAATTCGAGGGAGTTTCACAATTTCACATGTTATTTGGCCCCACAAGTCCACTTAAAATCTCAAAGATATTGCTTTGGTGGAATTGTATCTTGGGAGATTTGTCTTGATGAAGACAGGAAGACTGGGACACAGGCCCGGACCTGGAACGCTGGTTACTACACCGGTCTTGCTCAGTATAAAATAAAAAAATAATAAAGCCGGAAGAGGGGCCCGGAAGAGGGTATGCCTGCAAGAGGGCTGGACCTGGAAGAAGGTTCGAACCGTACTTACACGGGCCCATGAGGTTTGACCGGTATCGGGGAATCAGCCGAGACTGGCAAACTGATTGGGGACTAAAAGATGCCCATTAAAAGAAATAGAAGAGGGATCGTCCACCGTGGCGCATCCTATTTCCCCCTT